TGCTAATCACAAATTAAATTTTTTTTTGTCAAAATCAGGAGATTAACTTGAAATTCACATCTGTACATTATCCCTAGAAAAATAGACAAGCGAAGGCTGCCAATAAGATAATATTGCATCTATTATGGAGAAAGGACAAATGTGCAAGTGGCAATTGGTCGAATATACTTCTGCCATCCTATGGGCTGTCCGGGCTGCACCATCATCAACGACAGGGCAAACATCTTATATGTTTTCCCATGGAATGGAAGCAATGTTGCCAATCGAGTACAATCGCCACAACCAAAGAGTCATCACTGTTATCTCATTCGACGGGTAGAATGTCGCCGACTGGCTGGAGCTAAACAGTGAAGGAATGATGCTCGTGCTTGACCTACGAGAAGAGGTAAACAGTGAAGGAATGATGCTCGTGCTTGACCTACTAGAAGAAAGTCGAACGAACATAGCATTTTGACAGAAAGTAGTAAAGAGAATGATTACTTGATAATACAATAGGAATGTCTGATAGAAGATTTGTGCCTGTTAATCTAGTTCTGAAGAAAGTCAACCCAACTACATGCGGGTAATCAATTGGGAAACTTGATCAGGTTTGGACCGCCCCATTCATTATTGATCAAAAAGCACCCTAGGAGTCTACAACTGAAAAACATTTGTGGAAAAAATTACTGAATATGGAGTGGGGATGATCTCAAGAAAATTTTTCCTTCAAATAGTTACAGTGTACCAACACATGGAAAATATAAATAGAGTTTTTCATTTCTAAAACTTGTCAAGTTTTTGTTTAAACACAATGTTAATAAAAATATCAGTTGACTATGCGATTGTGACCCTAGGTTTGAACAATTCTCGGGAAACTCGGATGGTTGATGCACCTAGCATCGAGACAACACTTTGGGAACTAAAATACTCTAAAAAGCCGACCAATAGAGGCGTCAGAGGTGGTTACTCGCCTAATAGCAATGAAGCTCTACGAAGGGTTCCGAGAAAACCACCCTTGAAATGGATCGGTGACTACACCCCAACGAGGTTTAGTGCGGAAAAAAGAACAACAGGTCTAGTCAAATAACTAAAAACTTAGGTCTATCTATGCTAAGAATTGACATCCTGAAACAAACTGATGCGATGCATGTCCGAGTGGTTAACAAAATCTTGAACTACCGACTACGACACCGCGATGTCCGATCAGTGTACACAACTAAAAATCGACCCTCATCGCTGAAGCAACGAAAACTAAGACTTGAGATGGGTGAAGAATATTCAAAAAAGAGTAGAGAACAAAGTAACATTATAATTTACTAAACAAAAGGTAACAGGTAAAAGCGACCAAAGTTATATTTCATTCATGTAATCATTTGGTTACATGCATGCCAGAACAAAAACCTTTCATGCACACTTGTTCGGTTACATATAAAAAAAAGAGAGAAACTTAAGTCTAGGAATCGCAAGATCAAGTGTTGGACAATCTGTCGTCCGCCATGTTATCTCCCTCCGACTCCTCTGGGTTTTCTAAGGTTAGGGAGCATCAAAGAGTTTCTTGAACTCACCAAGGTTAGAGTACTTGGCCGACCATCCCAAATTTGACGAATTGGTCGATTGCTACCCTAGTCCCCTCTTCCCAATGCACAACTTGAGTTTTAAGAAACCCTTTGGCTGTCGTTATTATGGCCATCTGCTCTGATTATTCAACATTTTCTTCCTGGATGATAGACACTCAAACGCTATCTCCAGCTTCGCTTCAACACGCTGCCGTCGAGCCTCTACTACAACCACTCGATTCTCTGTCGATCCTGCTTCTCTCTAGCCTCTCTACCTTCAAGGTCCTGTTCCTCTTATCCAGATAGACAGAGGAAAGGTGGTGCTTTGCGGCAAAATCCAATAGTTGATATTGGTCAACCATCTGGCATAGCTTCACAGATCGCAGATTATTTAAAGGTGGAGATTATTTAAAAAATTATGAAGGCCCTCCGACCATAGAACATTTGGGATGGTGAAAGCATATTTGTCTCTCCTCTGGACTTGGGGAAACCAATCTCTTTCAACGTTTATTTAATGCAAAACTGGAGTACGAATCAAGCCCTTTGGTCATTTCTCTTGCAACGTACTCCAGTAGTCCTTACCTCCTTTCTTCTTCTTGGGAGGTGAGGGGAGGGAAGTATCAAAATCTTGTGTCGGGGCCTTGTCCTTCCTCCGACATTGTTCTTCTTACGCTTGAGTCAGCTCAAGCTCCTCTTCAACCGAACCTTCTTCAAGGCTTTTTGGTAGCACCTCGGCCCAACACAGTTGGCGACCGTAGAGGGGGCCAGTTGGCCTTCCCTTTTTTAGTTAAAGGAATGAAGCTCGAGTAAGATGGCTGGAAAGCTCATTGTGTAGACGGACATTCGAATGACTCCTTAGCTTCCGATCCAAGGATGGTGGGAGTTGACTTCTCTTGGAAGTGATCTCTCGGAGCCCCTAAGTTCATCATAGAATATTTTTGTTTTATCAGAGTTAACTCGCCAGTGACTTTTTTTGAATAACAACTGAGGTTTTGGTGATGCGGTGGATTAATTTTAAACATGGGGCTATTATGCCTGTTTAGTCGTCGCCCTCTTCGGCCTCTCCTCTCCTTTGTGAAGAAGAGCCACCCTTCATCAAAATTGATAAAATGCAAATGATGAAAATTGATAAAAATTAAATTTTATTTACGACATATTTAACAGGGGGTCTTCGACCGCTTCACACAACAACGGATCTGGACTCACAAGACTGGTACAAAGCGCGCCCCCAAACTTAAATTTCTCTCCAACCTCTTCCTTTGCTCGGACTCGAGAGTTGGATTTGGTCTTCCAGACTTTGGCCAAATTTATTCGGAGAGTGGCCACCTCTGCCTGGAGGGGTCCTCATATCAAAATAAAGAATCGCCAGCTTCCTTCAAGTTTGATATGGTTGTTTCCCTCTGAAGACCAACTCTCGAGCAAAATAGTCCACAGTTTTGTCCATGCAGTGAACCAATGACCCTTGCGAATCCCGTCGATCGTCGGTCTCCCTCGGCATCCTTAGGGGCTGATAGATGGCGAGATGTACTTCCACCCTCGGCCGACATAGAATGTCCTTGACTGCCGCTGGAAGGAGTGGTGGTCGACTTCTCTGGTCTAGGAGTCAATGATGTGCATAGTTTAAGCTGCAAAACTAATATGATGTCATTAACTGGAAAATGAATAAATCAACCCTAAGAAAGAGATTTCCTCGTACTAATTATTCTCTCCATCTCCGATGTGCGGAGGCTCTCCTGCAAGAGGTTAGATAACCGCCTGGCTGCCCTAGCCGATCGATGGCGGGAGAGCCACACCTTAAGTGCGGTTGGACCCGGATCACCGCGACCACCTGAAGTTGTTGTTGTGCCAGTTGCTGGCGGATCAGATCCAAAGCAAGGACCGATGCACTGACGGTGTGTACGTCGGTCCTGTCCCCCGCCTCACGGAGGGGCAATGAGTTAGATGACTCGCCCGTCTCCTCGACTTTTTGTTTCTTTTGAACTACTTGCTTGACTTTTTTTTATTCCCTCTGGTTGGATCCCTCTTTCCCATCTCTTTGATTCGACTCTGACTTCTTTCCTGCTTGCCGACCCTCATCAACTGGCTTCTTTATTACTGGCTGGGCACTCTTGAGTTTCTTCTTTTTTTGTCCTGTTGAAATATAGATTTTTCTGTCAAAAGTTCAAAGGCCCTGAACATGTTTTCCTCACTCACAGGTTTTATTTCATTCTCTGTCATTATTCTCTATCAAAAACTTACTAAAGGGCTGAAAATTCGGAAATGATGAAGAAAAAGTGCAACTCACCCCCTATTTATAGGGAATAGGGGCATGAAAATCCATGAAGTTCAATTATTAAAAATATTTATTACATAATAAATAAGTCAATTTTTTCATTTAATTCTCTCCTTTTCATTGTAGTTACTTTCAAGGAGAGAATTGAAGACTTAAATATGTACATAAAAAAATGATCGCATGAATCTTGAGGAAATTCATTGGGTCCCACTACGTAAACACCAAAAAATTGCATTGGGATAGTCAATAGACGGACACGCCAAGTGTCATTTCTTTCGATCGGAACCACGAGCCGATCGAATGAAAGAACATGAGACACCTAATCCGAGGGACAATCAACTACAACTAGCTCTGTTGAATGATTCCTGGATTCTTCAGAAAGATTGCCACAGAGCACCGTAATATCTTTCCAAACCTCTGAGAAGGCCCTTTTTATCCAAGGAGAATCTGAAGGTCCAAGTTCATCCTAACAACAGGAGGGCCTCGAACGAGGATTCTCTTAAGGAAGCTGACCGAAGACCCTCTAGTCACCTTCTAGCCGACCGAAAGATTATCTGACGACTGAATGACAACACTAGCGGTTCATTAAATTATTTCTCCATTTGTTAGCACTTACCACTATGAAACTTTGTCAACGTCAGTTTTGGATATTAAAGAGTCCCGGAGTTTGTCACAAATATGAAAATGTGTAATAATTACTTGTAACGTACCTCTTTATACAAGAACAAACATGTAATTTTAATAAATACCGTATGATCTATAAATATGGGTCATTTCATCAAGAAAAGACTTCTAAATTTACTCTTTGAGAACTTGTGTTCTTGTGTACTATACTTCTCTTCCCCTCTTTCTATTCCTCGTTCCAACAATCTATTCCTTGGGTTTGATCCACGGGATTTTTTTGGAATCAACACAAGCACACTGATATATATATATATCTCATTTTGCGGCCATACTAAATAGAAGTATTTTCTCCCAGACGATGAAAAGCCAAACATCATTTTTGCAATTCTTAAAATTTAAATTTCAGGATGCCTACTTATTTATTCTGACGCCATTTTTTAAATAGTGGTTAATCAACATTTGACTAAACTGCATTTTAATTTAACAGACTGCCTTTCAATTTCTGCCCGCCATCTATTTGTACATTCCTTTAGTCCTCCGCTCAGTTTCTCAGCTTGTTTCCATTGCAGACAATAGCGCATGACTTATACTCGTATACATCTAATAGGATTGGAAACCATGATTTATAGCTAAACTTCATCTCTCTTAAGGTATTTATGGAAGCAAATAGTTTTGTTGTATGCTATTTGCTGTACGACTCATGATCTTAATAACCTTTCTGTTTTGTTTCAGAGTGGCTGCTCAAGAGTTTGTCAGAATGAGGACCAATCTATAGCTTTTCGTGTAATTGCTATATAGTTATGGTTTTAGTGTATATTCTCTGTAAATTAAAATTTTGCAGTTTCTGATTTTTCTTTTCCATTTACTGCGTAGAGCAAAATATAGTCATTTAAGTGTTTAGAGTTTTTCATGGTAGATTTTTGAACAGCTTCATTTTCTTTTGGAATGTGTTTGTTGATGCTTATTTACAGTTCTTGTAAATTATTGAGAAAAAGAACTAAGCCTGTAGCCACAAAACACTGATCTAATAGATGTTATCCCCATTAGATTTTATTATTATAACTAAATTAATGCATGTAATATCTTATGGTAGGGATCTACATTATTTATTCGAATAATATTTTGTCATTGAAGATATTTTTTAATAATATTTTATGACTTCTCAACTTGGTATAAGCTCATGTATGTTTCTGCTATATATATATATATATATATATATCTATCTATCTATCTATCTCTCTGTGTGTGTGTGTGCACGCGCACGTTCTTTGGCTTGTTAGTAGAGCAGTATCGTTGAAAGTCGTAAGTCTCCTGAGGTCATGTGTTCGAAGTCCTCATGTGTAGAGTACGGTACTCGAATATTTAACACATTTAGAAATGGCCGGGGCTTGCTAATACCCTCCGGCCATATATATATATATATATATATATATATTAATTCTCCTTTATAACTATCAGATCCAAGTATTAATGCTTGCCCTTGTGCCTGACCCTCTCTCCGGACACTTCAGACTGCTTCAACGTGGCTCTGAACAATATGATCCAATGGCTTTTCATGATGGTTAATGCAAAAAAGATTCGAAAGTGGACAGAGAGACTAATACACCTCTCACCTTAGCTGCCTTCCCAACCTTTAATTAATCTATGCCGTTGACGCATGCGGCCTTTGCCCCCAAAACTTATTAGGGAATGGTATCATACTAATAATTTTAAATCGAAGGATGAATAAAAACGTTTGTTTGTCATTTCAAATCACCATACTCAAAAGAGATTGTAGAAGAATAATTAGATAATGAGATGCTACAAATAATAACTCAACTGTTAACACTATTAAAATTTCTAACAGTTCTTTTTCGTTCTCATCTTTTTTTAGTTGTTTAAATTCTATTTTTTTGTTCCATTTTTTGTACTTTTAGGAATAATAGAAAAATGCTGACCATCTTTTAAAATGGTTAGGAGAATAAATGTTTAGATTGTATTTATGTTATGAAAAGTATAGGTATATCTAAAAAGATTTTAGTATATTGTATAAAAAATGATCTTAATTAATTAGAATTAAATAAAAATGTGATGCTAAATTGGACATAATGGAGAAAAATGATTTATGAGGCACTTCTTTTAGTAGGGTAAATGCTTTTCGTTGCTGTTTCATTGTTTTAACAATATATTATAATGTAGTCATTTGAGCTTTTATATTTGGAGTAATGGCAAGCATTACTTCACCTCATCAATCTAAAGGTTCTTTCCTTCCATTGTATGGCTAAACATATAAAAATCTTATTGCTCAAATGACCTTCTTGTAGACCATTCCATCTATAAATGTCCTACTCTTAAAACCTTTCAGCCGTATATATTCATCTTATAAAAAATTTAAGATAAACATAATTTTGAATATGTAATAGTTTAAATGTATTTTTGTATAATTAAATTGGTTTGTTGTGATCTAAAATTTGCCAACTATCGTTCTTAATATTAATGAGTCTAGTGTGCTTTTCCATAAGTGTTAGCCCCTTCGAATAACTTTCTTCTGCAAATATTTTATTGTATGACATGATTTTATAAATGTTATAATATATGACAATATACTTTGCTTACAATAATATTAATGAGTATAAGATGAAAGTACATATTCAAGAGAAATATGAGAGACATGCAAAGTTTATGATGGGTTTTTGTAAGGTGGATTGGGGTAGCTCAATTACTATCTTAGATTAGGAATATGATAATTAAGCATATGACTAAATTAATAAAAAAATAAAAGACCACACCAACATTGAATAATCATATTTAGAAATAATGCATTTATCTAGCAGTCATCATAGAAAGCCAAAACAAAACGCATATAGACCAAATCAAACAAAAAGATGATAAAACTCAAAAAAAGGTATGATATTTTAAAAATTACAAGTACCTAATATTTTGATTTTCTAAAATCCTTTGATAGATTGATGATGTTATCATATTTCTTGGGCAATACAATAGTTCAATCAATTCATTAACACAAAAAAAAAAAAAATGCCCTCACACAAGTTTAGAGCTTGCATAAGAAAAAATCAATTTTCTTCTACTAAGAAGTATACCCTAAAAGGAGAATAGGCAACCAATACTTATGTATCAATGATCAATAGAAAAGTAAAAATATGTAGGTTTAAAGTTCTTTTCAAATATGGTAATATCTAAATTGTTATTAAGGCCATCTCAATATAATAAAAAATGGCATCTTCTCTCGTGCGCGACATTGCTAGGGTTTCGCCTCATGGAGATCCCTAACATCTGTTACGACGTATTAACACATCGTACGCTTGATCCTTTCCTCTGGTCAGTCTCGCTGCATCTGCCGCACAATCCTTTGTTGTCCTCACCGATTGGAAGGTCGATTTCTGCCGCAGTCTTTCTTTGTATTCGTATTCGTCTTTGTCGTCACAGTTCTTCGTTTTCGTTTCTCGTCGCAGGCTTTCGTCCATGCTTTTGTTGTGGATGTTCCTGGGTGCGGGTTGTAGAGAGTTTATATCGACTTTCAACTTTTGCTCTTCCTCGGGCTCAAAGCAGAGGGTTAGTTTGTTGCTTGACCGGGACAGGGCCGCTTGATCCCCCTTTCGGCTTTCAGTTTTTTCTCTTCCCTTTTCTATTATTTTGTTGTCCTATCGTCGCGCCTGTTTTTTGGTGATGACTTTCGACATATCGTATGTTGCTGCCCTTGTGGGCATCCACGCTTCAGGTACTCCTACATCGTGATCTTTCTCTCCTTTTTTTGAGTCGACAGAGGAAATCAAGAAATATGATAAGAAGAATGGGAAGCCAACTATCTTTTTTACGAAAGTTGAATGTAATCAATTTGCTTCCTTCTGTGGTATGAATTTGATCGGAAAATTTCCTTATGACCATCCTAAAATGGAGCTTATATTGAAGGGATTTGAGCTTACACATCTTGTTGGGGATTGGAAAATTGGTCTTTTACATTGAAGACACATCATTATTCAACTTAATAATGAAGAGGATTACACATTCTTATTTGCTATAAGATTAATCTGGATCGATAATAGTGCTATAAAGATTTTGAAATGGTTGGTGGATTTTGATCCACAGATGGAGCCACCAATCATTCCAGTCTGAATTCACCTTCCAGGCTTGAAATTTTATTATTTTACTCAGAAAGTGTTGTACTATATTACTTCAGCTTATGGAAAGCCGCTCAAAATAGACATTTCTACATTCAATCTTTCTAGTCCCTCTGAAGCCAGGGTGCTTATTGAAATGGTCATCACTTTAATTGCTTTGAGGAAATTTGGTTAGGCACACAACATCATGGATATTGGCAGAAGATTGTGATTGAGCCTTTCCCTTCATATTGCTTAAATTGTAGTATGTTCGACCACTCCATTTCTCAATGTCACAATCTACAACACCCATCTCAGACCAAAGAAGCAAAGTACACAACCGGAGGTAGTGATTCCCCCTCCTCCTGATATGCTCCATGTTATTGACACTATTGATCATTAGAAGGATACTCCTGAAGATTCCATTATCCTCATAGGTAATATGCCAACATTTTAGTCTCCACATAATCATGATGTAGGTTCCCCGTCAGTGGAACCTCCTTTCTTGGGGGCGGGGGAGACTGTTCAGACTTCACCTGCCCTAGAACCTATCATAGATGGAACTAGTTGCAATATCTCTACCGTGCTTGTGCCTCATCAGGACGAACAAGCTGTTATTGTTACTTAGGCACATGGGGATCATGATGTGCAACAACTTACATCTGTTCAACCACCTTTGGACCAATTCATTGATCAAATGAGTCAATCCTCGGATGAAGAATGATAGGTCTATACATCTAGGAAGAAGAAGAAGAAGAAAGGAGGCCTATTACTAAATATGATGGATGATACATTAGTTGTTTCGGGTAATGATAACAAACTTAACATATTATTAGCTAGCTCCCGTTCTAGAACTAGAGACAAAGGCAAGGCTAAATTGGATCTTTCCAAAGCTAACTAAACTTGCGAGTGTTGGCAGACTAATGTAGTAATTTTTTTTCTCTATGTCTACTTTCGAATCTTTTTTGGGTATACATGTATTTCTACATGTGTGTTGTATGTCAAGTGTTTAGGATGCCATTTTAGGCCCTTTCAACCAAAATATATGTACATTTCCTTTTATTAATATATTCGCCTTTGGGCTTTCTATTATATGGCAGAGGGTTATTAGACGAGGCTCGACCATCCCTAGGTGTGTTAAATATTCAACTACCACACCCTATACACGAGGGGAATTGAACTCATAACCTAAGGGAACTTAAGACCTTCAGAGAGGTTGCTCTACCAACAGACCACAATGCATGCACACACATACGCACACACACAAATATATTAACGAAACCCATATGTAACTTTATTGTTCATGAAAAGTAGATTGCAAGATTTGCAGGTGAGCGGATCACTCTACCAAAAAACAAAATAAGTACATTAATACTCACTCCTAGGGTTCCTCCACCATGCTTACAACCCACACAAAAAGAGCTCCAACAAATTACAAGTAACCCATATAAGAAAGACTCCAAAAGCACTAACCAGTATCCAATAAGAACAATTGTTATCATGCACGATCATAGCCTCCTTTACCAAAACAGGAAGCCTCGAAATTAATCTTCTTTTCTGCGATGTACTTCTCCAGTATCCATTAAATCAAAATTATCGAACCACAGTCACCATATTGTCATCTCACATCAAAAGACAAAACATATAAAAAGAATCAGATTTTCAAAGTGAGAAGCAACAATCATTAAATATTCTTAAATCAGAAAAGGCCAAATTTATGTTTAACAGCAGTGCATAGAGAAAACCCAACATTAAGTTACAGGTATAAGTTGCTCTCAAAAACAACTTTGATTGACAAAATTCAATAGTTTCACTAATGCTGTAATTCTTCAATAGAAGATAACTGAGACAAAAAAGGAATAGATAATAAGGACATCTCAAAATACAACCCTCTTCCACCGAATGCCAGAGCAAACAAAAAGTCTCAATATATAAGAACT